TGCAGCTCCTCCAGCCCAACCATGACCCTCCCCCTGACCCCCCCAACTCCCCCAGATCCCTCAGCGCTGGCTCAGCCTGACTCTTCAACCCCCCCAGGGATCCCGGGGACTCCCCCCTGCCCTGGGCAGCCCATTCCAACGCCCAACAGCCCCTTCTGCACAGAAATCCTTCCTCAGAGCCAGCCTGACCCTGCCCTGGGCAGCTTGAGGCCATTCCCTCGGGGCCTGGCGCTGGGGCCTTGGCTCCAGAGACTCATCCCCCCTCTCTGCCCCCTCCTGGCAGGGAGTTGCCGAGGGCCAGGAGGTCTCCCCTCAGCCTCCTCTTCTCCAGACTGAACCCCCCCAGTTCCCCCAGCCGCTCCCCAGCAGACCTGTGCTCCAGACCCTGCCCCAGCTCCGTTGCCCTTCTCTGGCCACGCTCGAGTCATTCAATGGCCTTTTTGGGGTGAAGGGCCCAGAACTGAACCCCTCAGCGAGGGGCGGCCTCCCCAGTGCCGAGCCCAGGGCTCAGATCCCTTCCCTGTCCCTGCTGGCCACGCCAGGGCTGGTACAAGCCAGGATGCCGTTGCCCTCCTTGGCCACCTGGGCACACTGCTGGCTCATATTCAGCCAGCTGTCAATCAGCCCCCCCAGGTCCCTCTCTGACCGGCAGCTCTCCAGCCACTCCTGCCCAGGCCTGTAGCCCCCCTGGGGGTTGTTGTGGCCCAAGGGCAGCCCCCGGCATTTGCCCTTAGTGAAACTTTTGGTAATATTTGGTCTCGGTCCAGCCGGGACTGGGGCAATGAGCTGAATGACAAACACACCAGTTTGCTGAAGGGGGCGCATTGACAAGAGCAAACACTGCCACAGTGTCTGCAAACTCCCAATTTATTCCCATTTGTTTTTACTTCTACATCCGACTGACCTTCAGGTTTTATCTGTTTACTGCTCACACGCTCACCACACATCCTGCAGGCGCTATTCCGACCTGCTGTTCCTGACGCTCGCGACACGGGGCTCCGTAGTGTTGCCTCAGTTATCCAAAATCATTCTTGTGCCTCAAGGTCGGTTTACATTTTGCTAACTACCAGTTCTTAATTCCCACAAAAAACTCTTGCAGGTGTTTCATTCATTCGATCACTGCAACTGAGGAGTTTCTGCTGAAATAGTCCTGGGCAAAGCCGGGGGGTGCGTTGGGTTTGTGACAGTGAACCAGTGATGTCAGGGTGAGCACAGGCACAACCACCCCTACCTTGTCCTACTGCAGGTAAATCCACGCTGGCCATCGTGACCTTTGCCAAATACGAGTGGTTTGAGGAGTGGAAGGACAAACAGGTCAATAAGCGGGGAGATGATTATGAGGAGTTGAAGAAGACCTTTGTGGACACCATCATGCAGGCTGTCTTCAAGCTGTACCCCCGCGTTGAGGACAGGGTGAGGAAGCCTGGCATTCCTGGGTCCTGTCTACCCAACCCCATCCTGCAAATGCAGGAGCCGGGTCTGGGCCTGCTGGGCGGTGTGGCACCAACCCATCGCTGCTGCCTCCTGACCACGCGCAAGGGGGGATGATGGTCCCTGGGACCAAACTTGGCCAGAACCACCACCCAAGGGTCTGCAAGGAAACCTGTCCCAGCCCGTACCCCACAAAAACAGCTTCTGGGAGCATGAGACACCCCACACCGTCATGCCTGCCCTCTGCTGACCGCATTGTCCCTCATCCCCTGCAGATCGAGTACATCTCCGGTGGGACACCCATCACCAACCAGCACTACATCGCTAGCCCCAAGGGGGAGATGTACGGCATAGACCACAACATGCCCCGCCTGCAAGCTGAAGCTGTTGCCACCATGAGGGCACAGACGCCCATCCCCAACCTCTACCTGACAGGTACCGCGGCCACCTTCCAGACACCGTGTTCTCAGATGAGGACACCTCTGGGGAAGCAGAATATGGGGGGGGCGTGGAGAAAAGCCTTCAGTGGAATAAGAGGACAAGCTGCTGTTGTGCCGTGGAGCGATGCAGGAGCTGCTGGAGCGTGTCTGAGTGGAGCTGCACGGAGGAGGGAAGGGCTGTGCCTCCTCTAGCTCCCGGACCTTATCTCCCTGCCCAGTGCTGGTTTATTTTAGCTGGACAGAATGAGGCCCTTTCCCTGCTGGGGAGAAGGAAGGAGTCAAAAAGGGAGGGGTTTGTGGGTTCAAACCCAAGGGGCAGCTGGAAGGTGGGGAGGGCAGATGATGGATTGGGGTGGTTGATGTCCGACCCACCACGGAGGGTCAGTTGGGGATGGGGAGCACGGGCGGCCTGCAGGTCCCACCACGGTCACTGTCACTGCTGCCTCCTCCTCTCTTCCAGGGCAGGATTTGTGCCTGTGCGGCTTCATGGGAGCCCTGCAAGGAGCCGTCATCTGCGCCAGCACCGTCCTCAAGCGCAACCTCTACATCGACGTGGCGTGGCTGAAAAAGCGCACGCAGGCCACCAACTGCAAGAAGGAGGACTAACCCCTGCCACCCCACCAGCCAGGACCTTCCCCCAGCACCTTATTTTCTGCTGTAAATCACCCGTAGCACAAAGCCAAAGGCCCAGGAGGACGTTGTTCCCATTTCCAGCCAGCTTGTTTGGACCTTACCCACCTAGAGCTCACCTCTTCCACCACAACATCCACCACTAGCGAGTAGACGCCAGCGCTGATCCCTGGCCAGCCTTTGAAGGGCAAACCCCTTCTCCTGGTGTGGGGAAGAGGGTCTCCAAGAGCTGCCATGCGCAGCAGCGGCCAGGAAAGAAGCCAAGGCAACCCCAAAATCCAGGCTGCACCAGAAGGCAAAACCCAACAGCCTCTACAAGCAACACCGATGATCCCCACCCGTCTGAGAGCCACCTGCACCTCCCAGACACAGCAAAGGCAGCAAGCGCCCCAGGGATCCTCCCCCCCCTCTCAGATGGCAGCTTTGGCACAAAGTTGGACTCCTAAAGCTCCGCGCGGGACTCGGCAGCCCCGGGGGTTGCAGAGGCAGTGGCACCTCCCCGAGTCGGGGCTGTGCTTGTCCAGGCAGCGCCGGGCATGGCACCAGCTGGATGGGCACCAGCTGCCTTTGAGCACGGGGAAATCACACCAGCCCAAGCCCAGGAGAGGATTCTGCCAGGAATAGAAGGATTTAAGCCAGGTTTAAAGCTCTTTAAGAGCAACAGTGCTTGCTAGCTGTATAGTGCTTTCAAAGCCATGCCTTGTTGCAGCAGCGTAGCAGGAGCGTGACGCAGCCCCTCTGCCCCACGATGCGGCCAACATTTTGGTGCTGCTCTACCCCTCATCGCCCAGAGATG